CCTCCAATCCTTCTCAACATTGAACTCAACCCTCTCCTCTCCCGCCCCATCCATGCACCGGTAGCCTGATCAGGGCCTCACCACCCGAATTCAAGGGCCTTTTTGTCTCTGCTCTGCTCGTGCTTGGCTTGCATGTGCTGTGCCTCGCTGTGCCTCCCACTCGCACCCCCCCAAAACCCGAACCCAAAAAGACTCAACCTGAAATCATTTGCATCTGATTTGCAAGTCAAGGTACGTTCCCGCTTCGGTTCAAGACTTGGCTCTTCTCTTCCGCATCCTTCGCTTCCCCCCCCTCCCTCCTCTTTCTCTTCCATCTCCATCTTATCCCAAATTCCCACTTCTCTCGCCTCACACCCCCCGGCACCCGCGAAAAAAAGAGCTGCGAAGCTAAAAGTCTCGAACTTCATTAGCCTCACACCAAGGCAAGCCTCCCCAAAATCGCCCCCCTCCACCCCAGACAGCCTCCGGTGCAACGTCCTTTTGGGTCTTTTGGTTCCTGTGAAGGCTTCCATGCATAAATTGTCCTTGCCGGCCCTCCTAGTCGACACCGCCCTCTTAATCGGTATCCCTGTTTCCAAAGGGTCGACCGTCTTCATTTATTAGGCCGATTGTCCCTCCGCCTCTGCCTCTTCCCTCTCTTCTTTCTTCTTCTTCTCCTTCATCCTCAAAGTCCAACGTCTCACGCTTAGACAAAGACACAGAGAGACACATCCATCATGTCCAAGGAATCGGGCGTCGTCACTCCCCCGGAGAAGGGCGACAATGTCGTCGACTATCAGGCCAGCACCGTGGTCATCCCCAAGGAGGGCCTCGACCGCGACTCCAACTGGTTCACCCGCAACGGTCTCAATGCCGACTCCTTCAAGAAGAAGCACTATGGCCCCGGCATGGTGGAGCTTGAGCGTCCCATGAAGGCTCGCCATCTGCACATGATTGCCATTGGTGGTTCCATCGGTGCTGGTTTCTTCGTCGGTTCGGGTGGTGCTCTCAGCAGAGGTGTAAGTCTTTTTTACCGCTTCCGTTCCGCGTCGACTCGAGCGTGTTCGGGTTTGCTGACGCGATATGAAAAACACAGGGCCCTGGCTCCCTCTTCATTGATTTCCTCATCATTGGTATCATGATGTTCAATGTCGGTAAGTAGCCCTGAGCTCACCCAGCGCCACGATAGTTGTGCAGTGACTGACAAGAGACGTCGAATAGTGTATGCTCTCGGTGAACTCGCCATCATGTATCCCGTCTCTGGTTCTTTCTACACATACTCTGCTCGTTTCATCGATCCTGCCTGGGGTTTCGCCATGGGCTGGAACTATGTTCTTCAGTGGGCTGCCGTTCTTCCGCTTGAGTTGACCGTCTGTGGTATTACGATTTCGTATTGGAATTCCAACATCTCGACTGCTGTGTGGATCTCCGTCTTCCTCGTCGCCATCATCATCATCAACCTGTTTGGTGCTCTGGGTTATGCCGAAGAGGAGTTTTGGGCATCTTGCTTCAAGCTCGCGGCCACTGTCATCTTCATGATCATTGCTCTTGTCCTCGTCTGCGGTGGCGGTCCTAGCGACGGTCGCTACAACGAATACTGGGGTGCCCGTTACTGGTACGACCCCGGCGCGTTCAAGAACGGCTTCAAGGGCTTCTGCTCCGTCTTCGTCACTGCCGCCTTCTCCTTCTCCGGTACCGAGTTGGTTGGTCTCGCCGCTGCCGAGTCGGACAACCCCACCAAGAACATGCCCGGTGCCATCAAGCAGGTCTTCTGGCGTATCACCGTCTTCTACATCCTCGGTCTCTTCTTCGTCGGCGTCCTCATCGACAGCGATGATCCCGCTCTGCTCTCTTCTGCCGCCTACTCCGACTCCAAGGCCTCTCCCTTTGTGCTTGTCGGCAAGTACGCTGGCCTCAAGGGCTTCGACCACTTCATGAACCTCGTCATTCTCGTGTCCGTCCTGTCCATTGGTGTGTCTGGTGTTTACGGCGGTTCCCGAACCTTGACTGCTCTCGCTCAGCAGGGCTATGCTCCCAAGCTCTTCACCTACATTGACAAGTCTGGCCGCCCCCTGCCTTCCGTCATTGTTCTCATCCTGTTCGGCTTCATCGCCTACGTCAGCTTGGACGCTACCGGCCCCGTCGTCTTTGACTGGCTTCTTGCCATCTCTGGTCTGGCCGCTCTCTTCACTTGGGGCTCCGTCTGCCTTGCTCACATTCGATTCCGCAAGGCCTGGAAGTACCACGGACACAGCCTGGATGAGATTCCCTTCAAGGCTGTCGGTGGTGTCTATGGCTCTTGGCTCGGCCTTTTCCTCTGCATCATTGTCCTCATGGCCCAGGTAAGAATGACCCCCTTGTTTTAACTCTCTTCTCTCCCTAGAAACATTTCGCTGACCTGCCTGCCTTTAGTTCTACACTGCCATCATTGCTGGTCCCGATGTCAAGGGTATGGGTACTGCGGAGAGCTTCTTCAAGCAGTTCCTGGCAGCTCCCGTCGTCCTGGGCTTTTGGGCCTTTGCTTGGATCTGGAAGCGTGAGCCTCTCCTGAGAACCAAGAACATTGACGTCGACACCGGCCTCCGTGAGTTCGACTGGGATCTTATCCGCCAGCAGCGCGAGGAGCTCGCTGCCCTGCCTGCCTGGAGACGTCTCCTCGACCACTTCTTTTAAAGAACAGCGCGGTTAGAGGGCGGTCTCTTTTTTTCTTTTCTTTTCTTTTGATGCATACAAGTTGCCTCTCCGTTAGACGGTACGAAACTTGCGGGATGCAGAGCTGGAGTGGGCGACCGAGTGAGCCCAGATGATGATCATGTAACGCTGCGCATGCGACCATACCCTTGATGTCGTGGCACGATTTCTTCCTGTAAACAATTAGCTTATTCTATTATACTACAAGATACCATGGGGGCTAGAAGTAAGGCTCCAACGGGGATGGGAATTGAACGAATAAATACCTGTTCATAACATATGATAAGTGTTGGCTCTGAACTCTGTGACGTCTTTGTTTGGCTGCAAGGCCCGAAGTATAAGTCGACGGAGGGATTTACCGCATTGGGCGGAAGACGCAAGTGTTGAATGTTCTTCGGCGGCTTGGACGGTGCAAGTTTCGACCGTGGTTCGTAGCGTATGCAATGATTGCTAAAGGCGTTGTATAAGACGTCGACATTGTAATGCTGTTACATCGATATCGAGTTGCCGACATCGAGGCTAAATTTGGCTTTATCGTCGTCGAGTTGCTGTAAAGGGCGTCGTGCAGTAAGAGTATCCGGTCCAGATGGTATCATCAACCTCCTCCCCTTTATTCCGATTAAGTGAAAGTAAATAACAGAATGAACTAAAAAAGAAGAAAAAAAAGAAGAAATAAGTCAAAAATGGAATACACAGAAAAGAAAGAGAAGAAGAGGAAGAAAGAAGGTTGAATGAAGAAGAGAGAAAGCTGCACCCCCAGTAGACAAGACTAATCACAAGAAGACCATTCCCTCAGCTCGTCTCAAAGTGACGACACCAGCGGTGTGTGGGCGTCGTCCATGCTTTTCTACAAGTATCGGATGGGGGGTGGTGGAGCCACAAGAAGAAGAAGAAGAAGAGTAATAATATTGGATCTCACATGTCGTTTGGTTGTCATTCGCGCGCCCTGGGAGCTTGTGCTTGTTAAAAGACTTTGATTATGTATGTCTGGTGGTATTCGGAATATTTTATTTTTTTTTGACAAGGCGGCGGGCTTTTCGGCTTTGCTGCGCCCTATGGCGGACTTGTGACTAGGGGAGGATCCTTTGTTTGTGGAGAGGACTGGGAATCGAGCCGAGACATGCGGGTGGCGGGCTGATGGTAGATGAAGGAAACAGGATGATGATGAATTAGTAGCTGAGAAGAAAAAAGAAGCTGGAGGTTTTTTTTTTTCTGTATCTTGCATGATGGAAACGTGAAATATTCATCATCTTGGTTGTTCTTTGAGATCCTCCCCCATACAAGAATACTGGAAGGGGAAGTCCAAGACGAAAAAGAAGAAAAGAATAAAGTACCTGCCCATGCCCTCGCTTTCTCTTCCGGGAAACTAGCTGCATCGGGAGCTACAGCACAATAACTGGATGAGGCTTAGCGGGCGCCCAAACGTTACAACTCAACGACATGAATTAGCGGGGACTCGCCCAGGAAAAAAATACGGAGATTGTGGTTACAAGTACAGAGGCGTTGCGTGTGAACGGAGGGAGAAGCCCGTCATAACGTTGTTTGCTCCGAGGCGATATCGGTGGGTGATGATGATTCACTGTGGGATTCTCACGACCGGGGGTGGGGGAGAAAGAGAAAGCATCCACGTGATGCTTTTTGTTTGTTTGGTTTTGGCGGTCGGCGTTTTCATGTAGGCATGTATATATTCTCTGTTGAGTAATGGAATGACCACCTTAGTACCCAGCGAAAAGCGAAAAAAAAAGGGGGGGTGTGGCCGCTCCAGCTTACATTGCCTCTTGCCGTGTAATACTGCGGCGAGATGTGGGTATCGGCTGATGGACATGAAAGGAGAATCTTGTTTTCTTCTTCTTCTTTTTTTAACCTTTTCGACTAGCAGGATGACTCATGATCATGATAAATTTGATGGGAAACGGAGTACTTTTGCAAGGTCTTATCCACAACACGCCGGGTCTGTACCATATAAAACGCCCTATTGCTTTTTTTTTTCTTTTTCTTGATATTACGCATGACAGGAGCCAAGTTGACGGGATGGAATATGCTGTTAATACGCGTAAGAGGAGTGGCCTTGACCTCGACCTCGTGCCTTGTTGTACAACCTTGATGAGAAATTCATATAGGCTACTCGCCGTGTCTCGAGCAGCCTTTCCTTTCTTTTTGTTTCACCACTCACTCTATAGACCGGCCAACAGTCCCCCTCAAAGAAGGAAATCCAAAGACGCTGGCTTGATTAAAAACGATGACACAAATACAAAACAAATAGCAGAAAAGGAGAAGAACAAGAGGCCGAGAAAAAAACAAGACAAGATAACCCCAGTATATTACATACGTTAGTTTTGCCGCTCCACCATGCCCATCACATCGCCCACCGCCGTCCTCGCCAGCTTCTTGAGCAAAATCTTCTCATCCGCCTCCCGATATCTCTCCCACCCATCCAGCCCCTCCTTCGCCTGGATGCTGAGCGTCTCGTAGCCCTGCTTGATCACCTCGGCGACTTGATGCGTCGTCAGGTTGCTCGGCAGCTTCTTCTCCGAGTTGCCCCTCTCGGTGAGCATCTGCTTGTAGTGTGTGCTGACGTTGATCAGCGTGTCGATGGAGTTGCTGTTGCGGTTTCCTAGCCGGTAGCTCTCCTTAAAGGACGCCAGCACTTCGCCCGATTCAAACACTTTGTAAAAGAGGTCGTCGTATGCCGCTGGCGTTGGCAAAAAGGCCTCGCCGGCAGACAGCGACAGTGCCACCAGATTCACGACGTGGTCGAGGACTGTGTCAATGTGCTGTAAATCTTTCAGGTCTGAAGCATACGTGTTGAGGAATCGGATGAGGGACAGCAAAGACCGGAAAAACTCTGACCAGTGATAGCTCAGTCTTGTTCGGGACCGTGAAAGATACGAGATGATTCGGAGCATGATACCCAGGCAGAGGACATAGAGGCTGACGTCCAACCGCCGCTTTAGGTTGTGGTTGATGCCGTCCAGCATGGTGTCGAGAACGCATGCTGCAAGAACCCGCTCCCCCTTGACCAGGGGCAAGAACGGCTGCCGTTGTCGACAGAGTCGCACAGCCGTCTTGGACTCGTCGCTGCAAATCTTCTTGCAGATGGCTGGGTCCTCGATCAGCAGGCGAAACACCATCAGGTTGAGATGAGCGTAATACGTTGCTCGAGACGACAGGTGGGAGTGCTGCAGAAGATAAGAGGTGAGTGACAGATAGTTGGCCATTGGACGCTCCTTCCCCTTTTCACCGGGCAAGGTTACGAGATGGAAGCAAAACAGCTTGTTCGCATGAGAGAAATCATACGTTGCCAGCAAAATGGCGGCGTTTTGGCCAGGCCTAAAGCAAGTCAGTCTATATTAATCAGTTTTTCTCCAGCAGGATTCTACAATCACTCACAATTTCGTAAACAGCTGCTTTGCCGTTGCGGCGTCGTACACGGGCTTCTTCTCTGGCTTGGGGCCGGGCGTGATGGCTCCAAGCCCAAACATGTTTAGAGTGCTACTCAACGTCCAGCCCTCCGGAAGGTCCTCCTGAATGTCGATGTAATCAGATCGCAACGCCTGGCATGCACCACCAATGCAGCGGACGACTTTCTGAATAACGGCCTCGTTGACGAAGTCGTTCAACCGTAGTTGATATGGGTTTTGGAACTCAAACTTGTTATAGTTGGCGAGTATTCCCAACAGGGTGAATGGCTCTAGGCCCTGCTCAGGCTCCTCTGAGCTTTGAATAAACTAGCGCATGAATCAACGGTTAACAAGCATCCTGCCGTTGGTCCATTGTCGCCGCAGCATTACCTTCATAATGGAGGGGAAGAGGTCCCTCTGTATCATGTACGTAAGAAGCGTCGTCTGATATGCACCGGCTGAGACGGCTAGTAGCACCTCGATAGCCTTATGGCTCAGCTCCACTTGCATCGTTCCATGCGTCAGCTTACTCGCACAGCACAGCATCCAGCAGATGTTGACAGGTGTACACACAGTTTGTCCCATTGCGAATGATGCCATCAAGCGTGCTCACGAAATCTGTAAACACAGTATCAACGTGGTCTAGACCGGCCAGTATGGTGATGATGTCGGAGCTCGGGTGCGAGTGCTTCTTGGTCAATACGCAGGCGAGAAAGACGCTCAAGGTCTGCGTGGAAGATGTCAGCCATGGGGAAAACGTCCAAGCCAGAAACAAGCAACTCAATGGATTTCCGTAGCACTGCGCACATCAAGAGCATATAAGGGGGCCGAGCCTTTGCCATTTTTAACCGCCGCGATGGCCTGGCCAAAGAGCTCTCTCGTCCGCCCCTCCAGGAGCAGTAAATCGGCCGGGTGGATGTCGTTTAGGATCTTCCTCAGCATCGGCCGGTCGGGTCGCAACAGAAAAAACTCCCTCCAGAAGCCCTCCGACTTGTCGCCATCGTCCTCCTCCTGGTAGTACGTCGTCGATCAGCTCGGGCGCATGCCAATGAGAGACGGGATGCTAATACCTTGGTGGCCGATTTAGCTGGATTGTTCTTGCAACCAAGGGAGAAGGAGGCAAACCTTGAACAGGGCCGAGTAGAGCTCGATGATCTTGGGAACAAAGACCTCTGGCTGAGGCTGGCGTGTCAGTGGTGACGCCTCCATGGGATGCGAATCTGGCGAAACGGGGAGCTGCGAGCTCCTGTCATGGCCAGCGATGAAAAGACGACGTGGATGTCATTATCGCGACCCCGGACGGTGGGGCAGCGATAGTAGATAATGGGAGTTGAGGCTGCGCACTGTATCATCCCACGTGAAGAGTGTGCGGATGGACAGTGAGGTTACACACGACTCACTGTATACAAGCTAAGCCAATCACGCTCTTTAATTGACTTTCAAGATATTTTGTGGTGCCATTAGTAGGTATTTGCTCAGCCGAGATAGGTATGATACCTATATACTCGCATATAGTGCTACACACCTTTCGCAGCAAAGAACTCCATACTGCTGCGAGCCGAGCATAGCTTCTCATTAATTTATTAAATCAAGTCAAGACACCAAGCAGCGTTGGCGTGTTTCACATTACACGCCCTACCGCGCATAGGTAGGCAGCTGTTCAGCGAGCTATCCATTCGCGCGCACTCGGATATTTTGATCATGTAACTGATTGGAAATGATATTTGTTATTTTTTTTTTTGTGTATCGACTTTTAAAATTTTCTCAAAGGGGGTTTTTGTGTATAATGCTAATAAAAGTTTGCGCCTTGCGGCACTAATCCACCTCTCCGCTCCAGCAACTCGGCCAACAACAGCGTTGTTGAGGGATATAAGAGATGGCTGAAAACCTTGCCCAGAAGACCCGCAAGACGCGAAGCAACACAGCACGACTCGGCATCGTGTCTGTTCGGCGAGGTATATCCTTCATCGTCAAGCCGTACAATCTCCTCGAACCAATAAGTGAAGGAACAGCCAGCTACAAAAGCGTAGTCCATATCTGGCCGATTGAACCCCCATATGTAAAGCAGCCTGCGTCGTTTGTCGTCGCGGTCCAGTCTTGACGACTTCTCCATTAGCAGGCTTCCGCTTGTCCCTCTCCAACAGCACTCCCCAATCATACAATATCATCGTACAAAACACCTCGCTTCTGATCAGATGTCAGTGCCGAGGTACGCCGTTTTTGTCGTAGAAACCGCCGTTAAACAAGGTCATATTTTCTCCACTCAATCCCATGGTGTAGATGGGATTCCTTCTTTCTCGTCCACCATCTGCCGCCGTCATTCATTAAGCAAAAGCCGCGCCGCCGGATTCGATGGCTTCGATCTCGCTCAGGTCGATGGGCTGGCGGTGGAAGCGGGTAGGGAGCTCGGAGACATCAAAGGCAACCCCCCTGGGAGGAGCAATGGAGCCGAGCTGGTAGCCAGAGGAGCCACCAATGCCGGCCTCAACGCTGCCGATGGTCCGCTGAAGAGGGCCGTGCTGTTGGGCGTGGTCACGGTAGGCGCCGAAGGAGTTGTGTCGGGCGGCGGCATCTCCGTTGCCGTAGAATGCGGTGAAACCCTCGGGGAGCTTTCCTGAGGGGGATGCGGGGTGAGGCTGAGGAGTGTGGTCGATTGAAGCTGAGGGGAAAAAAGTCTCGTTAGCATATATAACGTCCCTTCATCATGGGGAGAAGTAAGTAGGAGGATGAGGAGGCATTGGGCTTACTAGGAGTGGCTCTGGGTCCAAGGAATCGAATCAGCGGCGTCCGCTCCGCGTGGACAGCGGCCTGTCGAAGAGCTCTCGTGGCGAACATGGTTGATGTGAAGGGTGGACGTTGGTAGAAGAGGGTTGGGAGAGTTGATGGCGGGGGTTGTCCTGATATTAGACTGTTGGAGGGGGAACTTGGGAGGTTTGGACGTGAAGTCAAGTTCAAGTCTGGGGAACAGCGGGGGGGAGAGACGTGTATATAAGAAGCTTGACGAGTGAATTAGAGAGCAAACGGATGGAGGAGAAGGACGTCGAGATGGAGGCGCGAAAGAGTGGAGGTTCGCGAATTAATAAAACACGCCGGAGGTCCGGAGTGCGATAAAGCAACCTGGAAAAAAAAAATCAAAAATGGTGCGTACAGTAGACATTTTCCCCAGCCGCGCAGCTCGTTTGGGAAGTCCCGCCCACGTTTAGGCGGCCTAGCGCGCCCTTTGGGCACCCGGAACACCTAAAAGGCGCCTAAAAGCAGCGAATGCACAGCTGGAGCGCTCCAGTTCACAGGTTGCTGGCCCGAGAACCGGGGGCGCTGGCTTTGTCCGAATTCGGGATCTCGGAGAGTCCACCAGGCGTCTCACATCACCAAAAGAGCCACCCACACCAAAGCTCCAGTCCGGTCTTATCGCCAGCAGCCATCGTGCCACGCATCTCCTGATCTGCGGGGGGAGCCAGTGGCCGAATCATTGCGAATTCAATGCCTGCACATGACAATCCCGGGGCATACGAGTATGGAGGGGAGGAGGGGGGAGGGCGCATCTGGCCGCAGACGGGCTTGAAGCATCGCAGCAGCCCGCCGAGCCGATACAACCTCACATTCAATCTGTGCCTCCTCGATGCCCCGCTCAAATACGGGCATACGGGAGGGTCTAACGGAGAGAATCGGAGCAGGGGCGGGCTTCACGCATCGTCGAGTTGGAACTAGCTGCCGCGGAATCACCAGTTGCAGAGTTCCATCCACGTTGCCTCCAGTCTCTCTATTCTACGAGTACAGCAGCAACAACAACACCATCAGCTCTGTGGAGTACCGGCGGCAGACATCACGTTGTCGAAAGTCATCATCTCAGAACTCGGAAAAGAAGAGAAACGAAAGGAAAAGAAACGAAACGAAATGAAGAATCAACCCATTGCATGGCCAATCCTAGTCCCGTCCCGTCATCCTGCCATGCATGCATATGCATCCCCAACCATCCACGCTTCTCCACCTCCACACATCGCAAACCCGTCAGCCCTGGCCATGCCTCGAATCCCCCGCGGTTCCTTCTTCTCTTTCATGTGCCTCCGAGCTTCTTCCCTTGCCATGCGTGCTGCGTCCGGTGTGAGTGGGCTTTTCCCGGGCCAGACAAGGGGCATGTCGCTGCAGGCGCAACAACTTGAAATTACATGTGCTTTTTTTGCCTTGTCGCATCAACGGCTCTCTCGCTGCTCCATCAACCTGTAGCCGTTACGGAACCGATTCCCACTGTTGCGTGTAGCGCACTCTTCAACTCCATGCTGCTGCAATTCACATTCGTCCAAAGCCATATCCCCGGATTCCGAGGCGTCCAACTGCTGCCACTGCCGTCTCAAGTGCTGGACAATCAGAGCGACGGCGTCACCGGCGGCCTTTGCTTCAATGACAGCCGTATTTACTAATACCTCCATGACACATCCGACATTGATTCGATAGCAACGTCTATTGCCGAATGGAGTTTTCCGTTGCTTTAGAATTATCATATTACTTGCAGCATTTGTCCAGAAAAACCAGCGGGCCAATCACCGAGACCCGATCGGCCCCCGGCTTTGGGTCCAGATATGGCGCAATCTATACTGCATGGCACGGCACAGCCCCTTCGGCCTCCATTTCTGCGTTGACAAACCACTTGTTTACTCCGTTGCCTTTATTTCCACTACAGCCGTTGCATTTGTCCGGAAGCTTCTTTTGCCTTATCTCCTGAAGGACGCTCTCTCATAGGCTCGCCAACTGCTCCGTACTCGTACATGCACATGCAAGTATGCAGGCATTTGATCCAGTCTCTTTGCTTCCTAAAATCGGCCCATGCAATACGCCACTCCCACATGAAATAGTTTTCTGGGGCCATTCTGGAGACATTTCAACCGGCCCGGACCGGGAACCGGAACCTCGACAATGGCTTGTACAAGCCCAGCAAGCCCAGCAAGCCCAGCAAGCCCAGCAAGCCCAGCAAGCCCAGCAAGCCCAGCAAGCCCAGCAAGCCCAGCAAGCCCAGCAAGCCAAACCTTGGCTACGCCTCCTAGCAGCGTGGTGGTAACTTTCCATTACGATCCACTGCCGGTAACTTTACAAATGCAATGCTCGTTTCAGGTAATACGAGGTAGGCTTCGTGGCATCTTCTCTCATGATAAGCAGCGCCTTGTCAGCCAACACTGTTGAACGTCGTCCAGTGAAAACTCGATATCCTGTGTCTAAACTTTGCATTCAGTAAATCCTACCCAATACTTTACATACCTTTCTATTCTCCACCTTCCTCTTTTCTTCCTTCCATCTCTCCCTCTGTGATGATTATGGATCTTGTAATCATTTCAAGTCGGAATCGCCACTCTGCAAACGACTCTCGACTTCAAGTGCCATGGCAGGATGAGGATGAAACACATGTTATTCAACACTACCGCAGATCTCCAGATTTTTGAGTCTCTTGTCTGCCACAGCGACTACTCTCATATCAGCTATATTCCTCTAGCATCTGGTATCGTCACTCCTTGAAATTCAAGACAAAAAATGCCTGATAGCCAACCCAGAGTCTCAGGTAGCCACTATCTAAACTTTTGACACTCATGAATTACCCCAACATCAACCCTCACCCCCAACAATTAGAAGAAGAAGAAGACAGCAAAAGATTCCAAAGCCACGAGATTCTACCTTATCCACTCCATAGCCAATAGGAGGGGGGGTATCCTAATGATAAGAGCGCCTCTTGTAGTCGCCCCAAAAAAGTTACTGAGTAGCAAATTCAAAAGGTATAGACGTCTATAAACGTGCTTCGACCCTTTTACGGCAAACAGCGCCGCTGCAAACACTCCCAAACACCATTCTCCTCGACAAATCCAAGATCGACCCGACCCTCCAAAAAACAATCCTTTTATATACATCCAAGTACTCAGAGAAAATTTCCTCTTGGAAGACGTCGCGTGCTGAATCGCGTCAAAGTCCCCTCGTATCCTACAATTCCATCCGTTCAAGCTTGTCGACAGCGTCCTTGTCGCGTCCTTCTCGTTTCTCATGCGAGTTGATACCGTGTTCTCCAAGTCCAACCGCCGAATCCTATATACGTCCTCCCTCGACGACCTCGCGTTCCAAAATCTCTACTTCCCCAAACTCTCCCGTTCGCCGACGTTCCATAACCCACCGCTTTTCCCCGCTCTCTTCTTCCATTATATACGATATACTATCTGTTGATCCCTTCTGCC